TCCTCAGCCAGCTTTGCTGGCTGAGGAATTCTGGGAGTTGAAGTCCACAAGTCTTAAAGTTGCCAAGGTTGGACACCCCTGAATTAGCCTATATTTGCCTAGGACCCTGCCTACAGTAAAACATGGCACTTCTGACCTTAGGATGTACTTTTGACTTTACTGAATCGCAATTTTGACTTTCAGAAGCTGCATTTTTAACCTAAATTGTACTTTTGACCATCCTAAGTTGCACTCTTGCCTTCTCTAAGTCGCACTTTAACATAAATTACACTTTTGATATCCCAATACTGCATGTATTTGAAGATAGCGATTCTTTTATTCTTGATTTAAATAACAGCATTCAACTTTTCTATTAATAATAACATTAATAAGCCCATTTGAGCTTAACTGTCAGGTTAAAGCATGGAATTGTGCTATGCATACCCATAGGACTTCTCCAGGCCCCCTTTCTAATTCTACAATATTTCTTCTGAAGAGAAACAATATTACCTGGGGTTTTATAGTGTGATGGTGTTCACAGGCAGAACTATGAGAAGAGAAGCATGCCGTTTTCTTCTCAAATGCAAAAGTGCATTTTAGAAAGGTCAATGTATAATTTAGGTTAAAAGTGCAGCTTCTGAAAGTCAAAATTGCAACTTACGAAAGCAGACATCTAAGTTTGTTGGACAAAATGCCTTCTTCCAGCCATTTGCAGATTTGCTCAGTCAGAAAGTATTAAACTCCAGATGAAGCAGGTACAGAAGAGCAGCAATTTCATCTACTGCTCATCAGAAGTGGATAACTTGAGTCTGAAATGAGATGGCACTGGCAGACCATTTGGAATTTTCATTCTTTCATTTTCAAGTGGGCCATAGAATAATGAGCAAATATGCATTTAGTACCCAAATATAAGATTGTTAAAATTGCCAGGAAATCTAGGAATTATGGACAGAGATGGGAACTAGATATTTGATGAGTTCCAAACACCTATTTGTTGACACGCTGGGCACATTATAATACAGGATTTAGGCATGTTGTTCTTTCACTTTCCATTCTGATATGCAAGGCTGCTTGGAATCATTTTGTTCTATTCTAGGAACGAATGATGCCAGCCTACACAAAGCAGTTTGTTTAATAAACTATACAAATCAACAGAGGCTGGTGGAAGAGTAACATAAAACCTCCCCATGAAAATCCAAGCCAGTATTTGGCCTTTGCTGTATCTTCTTTGGTTTTCTCTTTCAGGGGAAGTTGGCCATGGCAGGTCTCCTTGCGTCTGAAGGGGATTCACAAAGATGCTCGTTTGCTGTGCGGTGCAACACTTATCAGCAGTTGTTGGGTGATGACAGCAGCACATTGCTTCAAAAGGTAAGGTATATCCAGCATCCACATTGTCAGGCTACAGAACTTTTCCCATTCAATCAACTAGACTGAACTTCTGGAAACGTATAAAAACGTGTCAAAAAGGAATCCTTTATTGAGATGAGACAATTCATGTAGGGGTTAAAAGCAACATCTAATGTCTCTCAGGCATACCGGGATAGATAAGGGAGTTTAGAACCCCTCCTCTCCTCTCAATGTGTATTTTGTGCAACAAAAGCCAGTATGTTTATTCCACCCCTTCTGAAGGAACAATCTTTTTCACAGTTTCCCAAGCATACATCTCACTGGAATTTTTATGGTCTTCTCATCTCCTGGCTGTGCACCTAACAGAGGTGTTAGGTTCTGGCCATCTGGGATTCCTCTCTCCATTGTATCATGTGTGGCTTATACAAATTCAATATAAGATTGAATGTATTCAAGTTACATCAAGAAAGGATTTCTTTATCAGTCTCCCCACCACCCCCTTTTCTTCTTCCATTGAAGAAATGACAGATACACGGATCTGACACACATATTATGTTAGTCAGAAAAAGTTAAATCATGGTTTGTGAGCATGTCATAGAAAGCTTCTTCATGTCTCCCTAAATTCAACTTGAGGATAGATGGCTAACCATTCTTGAAGGTCATCTCATACAATAGCCTTCTTTTTATGTGCAGCTTGCTTATAACTGATGCCAGTGGACTTTGAGTTTCTACAAATTCAGTGTCAATATTTCACACTTTTTTCAGAAGCATTATATTTGCACATTGTGTCACACATTAGTGAAGGCCAAATTAATGAGTCATATCAATGGAGAATGGATCTGGCCAGCTCCTACTGGCTGCTTATGAATGGTGCAGACAAGTCTACTCTTCCCCTCCTGACATTGAAGACTCATGGTAGAGACACTACCTGAACTAGGAGTTCCTCCTGCTTCATTCCCCCACCCCCACCCCCCCACCCCAAACGACCTGCCCTAATGCCATAATATGCTATGCTGGCTGATGTGGGATATTGCTTCAATCAGCATCGTCTCCACCCCGAGATGGCACGTCAGCAGATAGCACAGGGGAATTGGAAGGAGACCTAAAACATGTAAAGTCATCCTCTTACCTTCTGGGTCCTTCCTGTGGCATGAAGACAAGTTGCACAGGAAGCCTCCCCGACTATATCTGAAAGCACTCCTACCTCTGGGCCTGATACACAGTGGTGGGATAACAGAAATGGCAACCTTGTGGATCAGGCACTGCAGGTGATCCAGAGGTAAGGAAAAGAAAGCTTCTCCTGGTATATTGCCCCTGTTCCTACCCTCTGAGAGAAAGCAAAACTCATTGTTCCAGCTGCTCTAACCATCGACCAGAAGTTTCCTTCTCCTCAGCCCTGGCCTTCAACAGGGCAAGCAATAGCCCTGAAGGATTTCCCAATCGACAGGGAATGCCTCAACCATCATAAGTAAGCCATTAAGACAGCACTGCTCACCAGCCTCATTGCCAACATGGACTAAAGCCCAGCTACTTTGGCAAGAGACAATTATCTTGACATCAGTTGGGTAGGCCAGCGTGCCAATAATGGCTGGGTGCCTACATCATACTAAGCCATAATAGAGCTTGTTCATAAGAGACCCTGCTATGGTTAGTGCTCCAGTCTCTCAAGGACTTCGGGTTGATTTTATTTATGGGTGCCTTAATTATATTTTTGAGGAGTGTATTTACTTCACCTAAAATATCTGCCTAAAGAGAGTAATGTAATATATTATTATCTATAGTTCATGTCTGTAAGATGGCTGAGGAAATGTTTTTAACTGACTCTCCTTAAGAAAGCTCCTTTCTAGTTGAAAGAAAGAGGTCTCCTTGAGATGAAGCGTCTTCATTGAAAACTAACTGGCTTGTGACTCTTTTGTGGGCAGATTTGGGGTAGACGTTCGTCGTTACCTTCTGCGGGTGGGAGACCATCATACCGGTGTGAGAGATGATTCGGAGAGAGAGTTGCCAGTGGAGAAGATCCTCCTTCATAGAAATTATCAGTCGAGCAGTAATGATAATGACATTGCTCTGGTCAGGATGTGGGGCAAAGAGGACAACTGTCTTTCCTTCAGCCACCATGTCTTCCCAGTCTGCCTCCCTGTTGGGAAGCAGAAAGCTGCAGTGGACCGAAAGTCTTGTGTCATATCAGGCTGGGGAGATACAGGTGAGTGCTGGGCTGCCTCATAACTTCCACATGGGACATCGAAGAATAAATAGAGAAGTTAGTCCCCTCTACTTGCAACTTCAGAAAAACTTTGATGGCATTTACCACCTCCTACAGAATGAGAGTTTCAAGTACATAATAAATAATCAGTGGAAAGCAAAAACAGTGACTTTTTGTCAAATGAACTTGGAATTAAATAACATTACTTTTTAAAAATATTTATTTATTAAAAAAATTTTTAAAATAGAAACAAATTCTCACATTTTACAGTGATATCATAGCAGTGTACATGTCCTTTAATAACAATTAAGTTCATTTACCATAGGTATATCTGTAGCTAATTTGCTATTTTTTTATTTATTATGCTACTGTTAAAGTGCAATACTTATCTATCTACATTATTTCACATATATACACACATGTAAATCATATATCACATTTTTTTTTACGATTTTATTGGTCATTTTCACAAAACATTTTTACTCCTCTTTTTTTTTTTCAACCAGTTATACTATATTGTGAAATATTCTTCTTCCCTGTTTTTTAATAACATAGTCTGATCATTTCTGCGCATTAATGTATCTTATTAATCACCGCTACATCTGTGGGTGTCGTGGTCAGTTTCTAGTTTTGAGCTAGAGAGATTCTTGCAGCGGTTATAATGTGTAATATTAAGTGTTGGTGTTTCTGTTAACATACCTAACAGAAAAATCTCTGGTTTGAACTTGATCTTTTGTTTTGTTAACTCCTCTAACCATGCTCGAATTTTGAGCCGATACTTTCGTGCTTGGGGACACGTCCACCACCATTATTTTTAAAATGAAGAGAAATGCAGCCAGGTTAGCTATGTTTAAACATTTCAACTTAATGAAGTTGAATTTAATAACTGTCACTGTGTAAGCCTGTGAACCTGTTGAAGACTTCATTGGCAGAAAGGATGGGTATGAAATATGACATGATGAAGTATCCTATAGTTCTGATTTATATGATAGATGAATGTATATATTTTACACCCAGTAGTTTCTAAAAAGGATGTAAATAGGAAACCAGGTGAGCGAGATGGATGGTTGAAATAAATAAAAACAAATAAATAAATCCCATTATAAATAAAAGACCCACTGCTGTACTCAGAAACGCTCATACTATTTTAGATAGTTATCTAGTTATATTTCAAACAAAAAAAATATGACAGCTCAATCTTCTGGGCCTTCCAAAGCAACAGAAGGCAAGACAAGAAGTAATGAATTGAAAGAAGCAGCAACCTAGAACTACGAAGAAATTTCCTGACAGTGAGAACAATTTACTAGTGAAACAAGTTTTAGGTACTCCGTCACTGGAGATTTTTAAGAAGAGATTGAACAGCCATTTGTCTGAAATGATATAGGGTCTCCTCTTTGAGAAGGGGGTTGGACTAGAAGACCTCCAAGGTCCCTTCCAACTGTTACTCTGATGATCTCCAGATGTGTTGCACTACATTTGCCATCATCTCAGAATCACAGAATCACAGAGTTGGAAGGCACCTTGAAGGACCTTGCTGAGCAGGAGACTGGAAGACTGCGACTGCAGCAATAGCAGTAGCACTTACTATGGCTGCAATGTGCTTCTCTCAGCATTCTCTGAGCAATTTACAAATGTCAGCATATTGCCCCTAATAATCCGGGTCCTCATTTTACCGATTGTGGAAAAATGGAAGGTTGAAATCAACCCTGAACTGGTCAGGATTGAACTCCTAGCAGTAGGCAGAGATAGCCTGCAATTCTATATTCGCACCACTGCACCACTATGACTCATATCACCTCTAGTCCTTCTCTTCATTAGGTTAGAGATACCTACTATGGGGGATGTTTGTGAAAGCATACCTGCCAAATGGAGGGGTGATGCCCACCCAGTTGGACTCTAAAAGCCCTGGCCTTGCTCTTCCTCAGTATGCCTTTCCAGTAGTTGGTTATTAAGGAGGTATATTTAGAACATAGAGGGCTGGAAGGGTCCTTTGAGGTCTTCTAGTCCAACCTTCTGCCCATGACAGGAGACCTTTTACCATTCCAGACAATGGCTATCCAGTCTTTTCTGAAAAATCTCTAGTGATGGAACATCCATGACTTCTGAAGGCAAGCCGTTCCACTAGTGAACCGTTCTCACCGTGAAAACTATTCAATTTCTCCTTAGTTCCAGTTTGGATCTTTCCTTGATAAGTTTCCACCCATTGCTTCCTCTTTCCTTCCTTTGCTTTGGCGAATGGGTTGTCACCCCTTCTCTGTGACACCCCTCAAATACTGGAAGACTGCCACCCCATTCATATTTATATGCTCTCTGTAACTTTCCCTTAAGCAGCCATTACCCAAGTCAGGGAAAAGAGAGAGGGAGAAAAAGACAGAGAATCTCTCTCCGTTTGAAGGCAGTAAATACTCCTGTGAGTTGAATGATTATATTTTGTGGATGTGTGAAAGGAAAGGCACGATTTCCCTTTCTTTGCTTTTATTTTTTATCTTTTTGTTTACTTCTCTGCCCTGAAACCGCAAACCACCAGCTGATTTGTTGTACTTAAGTGTTATGTCAACATTAACTAGAAGAGGGGAGGACAAAAGATTAACCTCTATCAGAAGGCTATTTTCTCTCTCTCTTTTTTTACATCTTCTCTTTTTTTGTTTTGATTTCAACATTACTTAGAAAGTCCACTTGTAAAGAATCAATATAGTAGTAAATGCTACTTTTGCATTTTGATCTTGTTTTTACACACAGATAGACACACTCATATACGCAGACATATATTTATACATATGTTTTTGAAATTATTATTATTTTATATGTATTATTATAATACATATAATACATATACATATTTCCTGCCAACACATGCTGATGCTTCCAAATGCATCTTGATAACAGCAGGAAGGGCTTATTTATTTTATTTAGTGTATGGTATTTACAGAGGTCATGCAATCACTGATACACAAATATAAGTTTAAATAAAATATGTGTGTGTGTGTGTTTATGTACATGTACATATACATATACAATATGGACAATGCAATATACAAGATAAAATATTAAGCTAAAACCATAATAAAATCACCATAAGTAGGAAAAATAGGACATACTGTATATAGTCATATTAAACATGTAGAAATTCTCAAATTGCCACCTAGGTCCTACAATTACCCTAATCTTTCTCCTCTCAACATTTTCCTTTTTGGAAGTACAAGTAGTCCTTGTTTAGCAACAACTGGGGACAGGAACTTGGTTGTTAAGTGAAGCAGTTGCTAAGTGAAACCATAACGCACCAACGTGCCTACCGTCCCTGTCCTATTGTTTGTTTTATTTTTCTTATATGTATTCATTTCATGTATTCATAACTATGTTTATCGTTATACCTATTATCTTGTAAGCGATTGACTAATCAAATAAATAAAATGAATAACTCTGCTTAAGATTTTACTTACCTTTTTATTTTACATACTTGTAAATACAAAGATTAGTCGCAAAGTTATTTTTCTATCCTCTGGTAACTGCAAACAGATACTAAACAGGACAGCTGCTAAAGGAGGTCTGCTTGTAGAGATAAAAACTGGGCAATTATATAATTTATAGTACTTGAGGAATTATTGCATGCCAACTCTGCTTCTTACTTGTAAGTACACTACATCAGATTAATAATTTTACCCAGAAGTAAGACAATTTTAAAAATAAATTTCATGAACCCTTTTTGATTATTTAGATTTTCAAGTTACATTTTAGATAGGGTCATGAATTCAGTGTAAGGTATGTACTTAAATCCCAGATTAGTAAAATATTCTGTAACAGACAGACTGGCCTTTAGAGTGCTCCAAGGAATTACACCCAGCATTTAATAGTGTACTAGAACAGAATTCTCAGGATTCTTAAGGACTAGCACTGTACTAAGAGCACCTTCACTAGGAACTAATCCTAAAATAAAGCAGTGTTATTAATTAAATCCATAATTAGGATCACTGAAGTACCAACTTTTTCTGAATCAGTGTGTATTAGAACAGTGGTCCCCAGCCTTTCTGGCTGTGCCGACTGGCAGGGGAGGGGAAGTGATTCCGTGCAACCATATGTGTGCAGCTCCATTTGTGCAAACGGTGGGCACGTGTGCACAAATGAAGTTCCATTTGCGTGAGTGTTGGGCGCACTGGTCACTCACACAAATGGAGCTTCATGCGCACAAAAGAATGTCTGCCTCTTGCGCATGTACATTCCCCTGCTGTTTGCGCAGCCTGGTGGTTGGGGGACCTCTGTATTAGAAAATAATTGACAAAATAAGATTATTAGTATGATTAGTACTATCAGTATCAGTACGATTATTTCTTAGTATCAGGAATCCACTTGTGCAGATTGGTTGCTTTTATTCAGGATGGGTATTGTCTTCCAAGGATTGCTACTTAAATTATCCTTTTGTTTAAATTTACACTGCTGAAAAGGAATAGTGTATACGTGAGTAAAAAGAAAAGAGAATACTAAGAGTAATACTTTATTCTGATTTTTTTTTACTTTTTATTATGCAAACCTTCCAGACTAGGGCATTCTTTAAATCTATGTAATAAAAATAAAATAATTGAAATAAAAATGTGGCCTTTTTGTTGGCCTCTGTTTTGGTGGATGTGATGACCCGAGGCATGGCACAAAGGCAACACAGTCACATAAGTAAGAAAAGTCCCTTTAGTACCTCCAACTTTGCCCCCAATGTCCAGTTACCTTTGGCTGGAGAAAAAACTCTCCCAAGAATAGTCTTTAAGTGGAGGAAATTCAGTCCCAAAACAAAATACATACAAACTCTAAATAAAAATCCATGCAAACCACGCTGCAGCAATAAACTGGACAGGGCAGGAGAAGGAATTGCAGACTTCAAAGGCCAACAAAACACACACAGTTGGGAAGATGCCAGGAACCCAGATAAGCCTCAACCATAAAAGATAACTCACGATTTGCTTCCCATGAGCTGCTGTGCGCAAACTCCCTTTTTAAACACTGCGTTCCCAGCTGTAGCTAATGAAGGGAATCAGGGCCCTTTCCTCCCCTGTAAGGCACGTAACTTATATTGCTCCTTTCTCCGTTCCTCCTTGCGTGCCCTAGGATGAAGAGGGGGTGGGCCTGGATCTTCCTCTGAATTCCCTCTGCCTTGCTCTACCTCTCCCCTGCTCTGCCCAGCTGGACTTTGCCCTTCCCCAGTTTCTTCCACAGCCACCGGAGCCACACTCCCACTCCCTGTCAGCTGCTCGGCCTCCCTTCCGAATCAGATTCCGACAGGGACATGAGAGTGGAATTTTTTTCAAACTGAAGTTCTGCCTCTGATTCCAGAGACCTGGACTTTCAACAACACCCCCCTTTTGTTCCTAGCCTATTTAGCTTAGCTACAAATTGATTCTTATTTCTTGATAGATTGATATTTTAAATATATTATTTTACACATTTTAAAATTGTTTGAAATGTAGATCCTATTCTAAATTTATTTTTAATTATTTTTGTAGCTCCTTGAAGGCTCCTTGAAGGCTTTTTAACTTTAAAAAGTGGGGTAAAATATTTTAAATAAATAAGTGTAAATATAAAAACAACTTTTAAATCAGAATGTATGGTTTTAAAAACCAGGTGTCCAAGATAGCTCACAACAAAATGAACTTTGTTTTTAAAAAGGCATTATGAGCAATCATTAAAAGCCATATCCCCAAAAGTTATAATTTTAACCTCCCAATGATTTTTTTCCATCTATTTTGTTGTTCCCTGTATTGAGTTGCATCATGAATATTAATTATTCTTCCAGGAAGATCATACTCAAGGATGTTACTCCAGGGAACCGTGGCTCTTCTCCCAAGAAAAGTATGCAAATCTCGTTATGGAAAGAAATTTACTAATCGGATGCTCTGTGCTGGAAATCTTTCTGAAGACAATCGGGTAGACAGCTGTCAAGGGGACAGTGGAGGACCATTGGTGTGTCAAAGACCAAACACACAATGGGTAATTCTAGGGGTTACTTCCTGGGGATATGGGTGTGGGCAAAAAGATTCTCCTGGTGTTTATACAAAGGTCAGCAAATTTGTGCCTTGGATCAAGAAAGTGACCAAAATAATATGAGAACAGTCAACCCAAAGATGGATTCATGGTGCTTTATGAAGTGGGACTTAAAATGCAAGGAGCTATATCTTTAATTATGCCAGTACTGGAGAGCTTTTCCAATATTAGCCATACATTTTTTAAGACATACGGACAAAAATGCCATAGAAATGCCTGTAAACTCTGCTTTGATTCCATTTTTGAATATATAATACTGCTAGAAGTAAGTTTTCTTAAAATCTGTACAAAGCTTACAAGACAGATTTGTTTTCATATCACCTATGACTCCATTATGTTGTTTGCTCCTACTTTTCAGTCTAATCTTAGGACGGGTCCATCCTAAGCTTTTTGCTAAGTCCCTGAGTGCTCCTGCCTCTCTGGTCTGGTTGTTCCCTAGGCAGCATATCTCTTGCCTTCGTTCCCCAGAGCCATTCGCGCATTCCATTACAGGCTGTGAAAGCGCCAGACAATCTATTTCAGCCCCAGCACGACCCACCTTCAAGGAGGGCTGCTGTGCAGGGCAGCCCAAAGAGGGAGATAGGAGTTGAAGCAATACTGTGGTCATAAGTACAAACAGGCTGCCAAGCAACCAGATTTTGATTATGTAACTGCAACAGTCATAACTTCAAGGACTGGAGTAAGGGACATTCAGTAACTTCAAATAGACGATGAACGAACGATAATTAAGCTAGCACTACCTGCACCTGTCTCTCTCACAATTTTTTTCTTGATTTATTTCTCTCAAATTGTTCCTCAAATCTGGACATTCCTGAGGTATTTCTGACATCTCTTTCCTAAACATTTTGTTCTGTTTTGCTAAAATTTATTAATTTAATTAATTTATATTGCTGCCTATTCGCCCATGGCAACTCGAGGCGGCTTACACAATGTAAAACCATATTTAAAACAAAAAACAAAAATAAAAAATAAAAACTAACAAAAAGAATCAAATAAATTAATTAAAATACAATAGAACAAAATCTGGAAAAAAAAAATCACCCCCCCAACTCCCACCCTCTGTCCTGACAACAGCAGATCACACTAGCCACTTGATGGGCTCCATCCCACTCTGGGCTCCCCAGGCCCGCTGGCAAAACAAGGTCTTCTTCAGTGCCTTCTGGAAGAGTGCTAGAGTGGGGGCCATTCTAATCTCTGGGGGAGTGATATTCCAGAGAGAGGGAGCCACCACGGAGAAGGCCCTTCTTCTGGGTCCCACCAGGTGTATCTCCCTCGGGGATGGGACCTGCAACATTCTCTGCTTCCCTGCCCTAAAGGGTCAGGTAGATGTGACCGGCAAGAGACGGTCCCTCAGATAACCCGGAAAATGCCACTTTCTTGAACTCAGCTCCCAAATATTTTGATACACTTACATTTTTCATGGGCTTGGAAAACAAGTCATTGCAGGCTACTGAAATGAATGGGCATTTCCCATTCCTATTTACTTAATGATTTTATATGGCCACCCATTTCATATATAGGACCCTGGGTGACTAATAACGGAAACAGAACCAAAATTATAAATGACTAAACAGCATAAAATATCAGCAGAGAACACTCACAACATCACATGCTCAATACAGCAATGTGCTCACTCATACTGCCAGGGTCCCAGCAGGTACAGGGCAAGTCTGATCTCTGGAGCCATGATGTTCCCAGGTACCATGGCAGGAAAGGCTTTCCCCCTAGATCCCACCAGATGGTCCTCTCTTGCAGATGGGATCCAGAGCATGCCATTCCTGCCAGATTGAGCAGAATGGGTAGACACCACCAAAGGAAGATTGTCCCGTAGTATGCCACCTATTGTTGTCTGTACTGGATGTTGTAGGTAAAATAACAGAGCATAAAGCCTTCTAAGGAGACGTCCATGCCACCTTATTAGCTTTCCCTTTACCTGGAGGTGAAGGTGTCTCTCCTAAGAAAAAGATGTGGGCTAATAGATCTGCCATTGTGAAACACTCGTATGTTTGTAAATAAAACTAATATAACAAAACATAAGTTTCCATGTCTTTCTCATTCATAGAAAATCTAGCCTTTTTTCTCGGAGTATAGGCATATTCATTATTATACCAATGCTAAGGAATTAATAACATATACTCTCAGCTAAATTGGACACTATGTTGGCATTTCGGTTATGATTTATTCCTATTAACTTGGAAACAACTCACATTAAACATTGACATATTTATATCTCAGCAAGCATATGTAAGAATGCACTATTAATTATTTCAGAGCTTTCCAGAATAAAGAATGAGTCCTTCTTATTCCCTGAAGGCTCTGGAAAGTATATTTGTAAATTACTGAAAGCCACACTTATACATTTCAATTTCAAAGTAAAAATGTGATAAGAAATTTTATTTAGCAACTGCCAGTTGATCAGACCAATTTAGGTTGAAATTTACAAGTAATAAATTACTTATTAAAGTAATTTATTTAATTATTTATTGTATTTATATTGCTGTCTATTTGCCCATGGTGAATTTAAGCATTAATTCAAAGGAGAATTATACAAATTTTTGTATTCTGAATACATTTTTGCTAATACAGAGTTTGGTTTGCCCAGGCCATTTGATACAACAAAAGAAGGAATGCAGAAAGAAATACTAAAGTTATGAGATAACTTTTCAAAGAAAGTATTACTGAGATGGATGCTTATGTGAAAGAAAAGTAAGTAAGTTTCATTTAGGAAATAACATTGTGAAAAGGGAAGACTGAGTTACTTAAGTCTCTTGACAGTCTACTATTCCGGAGTATCTGAACTTGTAGATGAGAGTCAAGAGAAAGAAGAGAGATACAAGTGCAGAACTGTCTGCTAATTATCTCTATAACTATCATCCCTAGAGATTGATCGTGTGGGAAGTGGTGTGCCTGGTGTGAAGCTCTGATACAGCAATCCTTCATCTGTCCAGGCTCAGTAATCCCTTTAAAATTAATGAAGCCTTTCTAAAGGCATGGAATAGGTTTTGCTAGTTGTGCTCAGTTCCCCATTTATCTCTAAAGCTGTTCTTCAGTTGCTGCATCTCCTCTGCCCACCTAAAATACCCAAATCTCTGAGGTGACATTGGAGTCCTTGTTCACAGGAAATTCAAAGTACTGTCCAGCCATTCCTGAGTCAGCAGAAAACCATCATGTTGATGATATCTTTTATGTGTCAACATTGGCCTTGATTCTCGGTGGCGTCCTGATTTCAGATGCCTAGTTCAACCTTCTGGTCTTGCTATCCTTCCCAAGAGCATGGCAAAGCTTTAAAAAAGCCACCTTCCTGACCAATGCACTTCCTTAGCAACATGCACTTCCATGGCAGATGGAGTATGCTGAAGTTTCCACTTGGTCTCCAGATAGCAGCAAATTACAGTCCAGAAGAGAAGAGCACGAGGGATGGTCCTCAATGCATCCTTGTCCAAGTAATGCTAATAGCCTAAGCTGCGTACTGGCCCTTTTGGAAATGAACTGGAACTCCCCCTTTCCGGTTCAATCAGTTCTCTTTGCAAACACAGCCCCTCGAAAATCAAGCATGGGTTAGTCCTGAAATCACCGGGTTTCTAATATGATAGCTATGTTTTGCTTTAGCTGAGCCTGTTCCTCCCCATTCGGACATGGGGGTCAAGACTTTTATTGCATATTCCAGCTAAGCCCAAGGGGGAGGTCTATTCGCATATCAAGAAGAGTTTCCTAATGGTATAAGTTATTCAGCAGGAAACAACTGTCCACAGAGATGGATTCTCTTTCACTGCAATTGTTTGTATACATGTGTCAAGGGTAGTGTACCAATGGATCCTGCACTGGGCACTGGACTAGGTGATTTTCAATCAATTTATATGTGAGAAGGTTCCTTCAGGCTGTGGTACATAGACCAAGAGGCTAAATGTTTTCCTTGATGTTTACACAACACTGGCTTATTACAAAACACTTCTTTCTATGCTAAGCACATAATTTACCTATCTGTGCCTAGTTACTGTATAAATTTGATATTTTGCAAGCTAAAGTACCAAAAGCCACCTAGGAGAAGAATATAGGCACTACCTCCATCCTGGCTCTGCCACAATCTATCTATAAGCATGAGTAAATCTGTTTGAGTATTAGAAACTGAAACCGAATAGAAATGGATCTATATTACCGATTTCCCCCCAGGATTCTCATCAGTTGCAGACCAACTCCTTCTCAGCAATCTTCCCCAAAAAGGGAAGTCTGGAGGCTGATCACAAGTTATTGAAAACCACTGAGTCCTTTTGAGGAGGGGGTGCATTTCTGCCTTTTTCAAGGGAAGAGGCACCATCTCCTCTATCAAACAGGCTGGCACGATAGCCCTGGAACTAACAGCATGTCATCTCCTTGGCCATTTTCATGACCCACTAGGGCCTGAATCCAATACACAGGTGGCCCAGCTGTTAGTACATAGAGCTCTGTCCATTCCCTCAGGAGTGACCTGCTTAAACTTTCCCAATCACATTGCTACACCATGTACCTGATACCTGCTCTGCCCAATCAGAGGCCAAGACTAAGCACATCTGAGCAACATTGTTTGCCAATTAGCCTGAATAATTCTCACAGCAGCCCAACAGATGTTTCAAGGGGGCCTCCCTACTCAACGGGGACTGAGACCACTACTGGATGACTATCATTGGATAAAATGAGAATGGAGAAATATTGACATTCCATTACCTTTATAGCTAGGAAGTGATCTCTAATAAACACTCTTATCCACGTACAGACTTGCCTTAGGCCTTCCTCCATTGTGGCTTCATCTCCTGGAGCATCTTGGTAAATCAAGGCCCACCCCAATGTTCCTTTTTTCTTAGCCCCTCTTTTCCCCCCTCTGAGCATGTGCTTTTTCACTCTTCTTTTCCTTAAAATGCTTAATTAAAAAGGGGGAAGGATTATGAAATACAAATAAAATAAGAAAATAGTTCAGATCCATACTGGGCAAACAGTCAAAATCTGTTACACAACAACAACAAAAAAGCATAATTCAAAAGCTGGGTTACAACTAGCCTTCCTGCTGAAAAATCTCAGGTCTTCCTACTTTTGTAGAGACCCCATAGCTCCGGAGCTGGGTGGACTTTGGGGTGAAGACTGTTCCAGGGAGCCAGGGAGAGATGGAAAAGGACTTCTCTAGGAGTCCCCCTAGATGGCGCTGTTTGGCTGACTCGGCGGGTTTTTTCTGGACAGACTTGCTCGGCCACCTCCTTTATTTTACCATTATTCCTGTCCTTCAGCTCCTCCTTTCAAAACTTACCTGTCGAAGCAAGAAAGCAGGGAGGCATTAACACTAAATTATAAAAGCTGTGTGTGCATGTGTCCTAAATACCATAGAATTAAAAAGCAGTATAATGATTCCCCTATTTCAGATAGGTGTCTTTTTATATAGTACCATGAGATCAAACACAACCATGAAAGCCAAACAAATACTGCTACTATTAAAAAACACTAATGTTATTTGGCTACAGTAAATTAAAAATTGCATATTATATATAATAGATACAAAAAAAGATTTAGAATATGTTTAGTATTTCATTAAACACTTGTAGTCTCAATGAAGCACTAAAATTTACTAATGCTGTTGTTGTCAGCAACCTGAATCCTCTGCAAGATGAACGACTCTTTATTGAAGATGATGGCCCATAATCCACCATATGGATCCAGTGCAGGCGGAAAGAAAACAATCACAGGGATAAATAATGGGAGGAGGGCTTTGATAGAAATAGCAATTCAACTTACATACCGCTTCATAGAGCTTCACAGCCTTCTCTAAACTCAGCATATTGTCCCCAATAATCTGGGTCCTCATTTTATTGACCTCAGAAGGATGAACCTTGAGCTGGTCAGGACTGAACTGCCGGCAGTTGACAGAGTTAGCCTGCAATACTGCATTA